GAACTGTTTACATTCCTGCATGGAAAGATGATATTTATAACTCATGAGACCTTTGTCAGTATTAGGATAGTTGGAGGGAAAAATTAAATGTATGTAGATAGATAGATGGATAGATAGATAGATAGATAGATAGATAGATAGATAGATAGATAGATAGATAGATATAGGGCACAGGGTGAGTTGAAAATGAAGGGGTCATATCTGGAGAATAAAATTAAGGGTCGAGAAAGGATTATACTAGGAGAAGAAAAAAGGGAGAGGTAGAATGGGGTAAATTATTTCACAAAAAATAACAGAAAAGTCTCTTACAGTGGAAGGGAAATGGGGGAAGGTGAGAGGGAATGAGTGAATCTGATTCTCATTGGATTTGGCTTATGGAGGGAATAACATACACATTCAATTGGGTGTGGAAATCTGTCTTACCCTACAGGAAAATAGGGGGAGAAGGGGACAAGAGAGCAGGAAGATGATAGAAAGGAGGGCAGATTGGGAAAGGGGGTAATCAGAAGCAAATACTTTTGAGGAGGGACAGGGTCAAAAGAAAGAATAGAATAAATGGGAGGGCAGGATAGGATTAAGGGAAATAGAGTTAGTTTTTCACAACATGTCTAATATGGAAGTGTTTTGCATAACTGAAAATATATAACTTATATTGAGCTGCTTGCCTTTTCAATGAGGGTGGGTGGGGAGGGAGGAAGGGAGAAAATTTGGAACCCAAAGTTTTAAAAGCATATGTTTAAAAAAATGTTTTCACATGCAACTGGGAAATAAGAAATACAGGAAATGAGGTATCTTGCCCTATAGGAAAATAGAAGGAGAAGGGGATAAGAGAAGGGGGGGAGAGATAGAAGACACGGCAGACTAGGGGAAGGGATATTCAGAATGCATGCCATCTTGGGGGAAGGGGTGAGATGGGGTGAAAATTTGGAACTCAAAATCTTGTGGAAGTAAATGTTGAAAACTAAAAATAAATATATTTATATTTTTTAGAAAAAAGAACTGTGTGGGGCCTTGGTGGTCATCTAATCTAACCCTATTCCCATTTTATAGAGGAAGAAACTGAAACAGGGGGTAGGGAGTGCAGAGCGGGGTGGGGAAAGTCACGTATGGGACTTGCCCAGAGTAGTACAGCTATTAGGTATCTGAGACAAGATTTGAACACAGGCCTTCCTGACCCCATGCCTAGTCCCACCTCTTTTTTTTTTTTGGCTAGGCAATGGAGTTAAGTGACTTGCCCAGGGTCACACAGCTAGTAAGTGTTATGTGTCTGAGACAGAATTTGAACTCAGGTCCTCCTGACTCCAGAGCTGGTGCTCTATCCACTGCCCCACCTAGCTGCCCCCCTAGCCCCTTCTAGATCCAAATCTATGCACCACACCATGTTCTTCTACAGTTATCATGTCCCTCACTAAGCCTTTCCTCCTCATGGCTAAATGTCACCAGTATATTTAACAAATTCTCCTTTTGCCTGGCTTCTGGGTCTCTCACTCTGCTGCTTATCCTCCTGTGAACACACATCTGCTGCCTAACATCCTTCCTAAACGATGGTGCTCAGGACTTCAGACAGCGCTCCAGATGAGGCCTGGTAACAGGGCAGGTGACAGCAGGGCAGGACATCAGCTCCCTTGTTGTGGACTCTGGATGCTCAGTTTCTGTACAGGCCCTTTCTTTTTCTGGCTGCTGACTCATCCAGGGTGCAAGACTTGATGGTGGTGGTGTCAGTGATGATGATGATTGTAATTATAATAAAATGTATATACCACTTAAAAGTTTATACAGAAAGTCCCAAAAGTCTTAGTTCAGTTTTATACCATTAAAGGCTTTAAACTATACTAAGAATTTTGGAACACCCTGCATACATGGTTTCATTAAAGCCCTGTGGGGTAGGCAGTATAAGTATTATTATCCCTATTTTACAGATGGGGAAAACCAAAGCTATAAAAGATTAAATTTATTTAATAAATTTAAATTAAATTTAAAAGATTAAATTAAAGCACTTGCCTCTGCTGTTGAATGCAAACTCAAGTCTCTCAACTCCAAGTCCAGCATTCTATCCACTATGCCACACTGGTTTTGTTTGTCCTGATTAAGTTTCCAATTAGATTCAACTTCTTATTCCAGCCTGTTGAGATCCTTTTGGATCCTGACTAATGTATTAACTGCCTCTCTCAGGTCATCTGTGCCTTTAACCAGCTCATGGAAATAAACCAATTTCTGGGACATTCCACTAGAGATTTGTTTGTAATTCCCCAAACATTTTTTTAATCACCGGATATACAAAAGGCATGTGAGTTTCAAATATAAAAAAGTACTGGTCTCTGCTTTCCAAGAGCTCACATAAAAATGGTGGGGTGGAGGGGTGGGATACAACATGTAAACAGATAATCAAGTAAATGCATATTTGAGCATCTAGAGAGGTAAGGGAGTGGGAAAGGCATCTATCTCTAGGAGCTGGCAGCTTAACTGAGCCTTGAAGAAAGACAAAGATTTTAAAGAGGCAGAGGAGGTGGGGGGGGATTCCAGATACAGGGGAAAGTCACAGAGATAGGAAACGGAATGTCAGTTTCTTTTTTTTTTTTTAATGGGTGAGCCAGGGAAATGTCTAGTCTTTTACTGGAGGGAAGAAAACATTACAACACATCTCAAGTAAACCAGTCCAGGGGCTCAGTGGCTAAACTGGTGGGGTACCAGCTTGTAATGGGTTCCACAGTTAGGGCAATGCTGTGTCTTGCCTTTGTGAAGCCAGAACCAGATGACTGCACTGTTGTCCTAGACGTAGCCCACTATTCACTTGTCAGTGATGGAAGGCTGGGTTCCTCCTTAGTCCCTGGAGCTGCCTTTGGAGCTAAGATATTGTATGGATCCAAATCATCCCTTGCAGCAATCATAATCTCTCTTTCCAAGCCAGTAGCCTGCTCCTCATCAGAAGGGATACCTCCTCCAGTTGCCATGGAGCGAGCAGCCACCCGAACAGGGCCACAGGCCCTCAAGGCCTAGACCGTCAGCACCCCGGGGCCCCACAGTAACCTTGAAGCCATCGCATCTGGAATGTCAGTTTCAGGGAATAGAAAGTTGTCTGGTTTGGCTGGCCCATAGAGTGCATGAAAAGGAATAATGTAAAATAAAGTTGGAAAGTTACAAGGGGAGGGAGCCAGCCTATACAAAGCTTTAAATGCCAGAATGAGGAGACTGTACTTTTTTGGGGGGGGGCACTTTGAAGCAATCAGGGTTAAGTGACTTGCCCAGGGTCACATAGCTAGTGTCAAGTGTCTGAGGCTGGATTTGAACTCAGGTCCTCCTGACTTCAGGGCTTCTTTATCCACTATGCCAACGAGCTAACCAGAGATTGTACTTTTAATCACAAAGGCTGCTGAAGATTTACAAGATGACATGGCTATATTAATGCCTGATCTTTGGGGCTAGTTATGCAAAAACCCATTGAACCAAATTTGTCTAACACTATTCTCTCTCCCTTGTAGCACAATTATTTGGGAACTTATTCTTCTTATTCGATTTTATCACTCCTTGAAGGGAGTGACTGGGATTGTTTTTCATAGTCTACCCCCAGCATCTACCTAGCACAATTACCTGCCCATGGTGCTTTAATTTGTTTAACTTATTGAAAAAAATCTGAAAAATTAACTTGCAATGTAAGATTTTTATTATAGTTCAGTTCAGGAGAAGGAAAATGGATAGCATTTATAGATATATACCTAGTCAAGAGTTTCATTTTGCAGATGGGAAAACTGAAGCTCCGAAAAGAGAACTTATTTGCACAGAAAGAACTAAGATGGTATTTGAATCTATTATTTCTTTCTACTGCAACAGGTAGGATGTGCCAAGGGCCCCATCAGTGGTGTACTAAGTGAGCAGAGGGAGAGATCCGTTCAGATGAAAGTAAGGCTAGGAGTCAGGAGACCTTGGTTCTAGTTCCTGAGTCTGCCACTAATTCCTTGTGTGGCCTTGAGTATGCCCATTTCCTTCTCTGGGCTTTGGTTTCCCCATGTGGAGAATGAAAGGATTGGACTGGATGTTCTTCCAGCTTCTATCCAGGAGGAGGGAAGGAACTGAAGATGTGATTTACTCAGGGGAGCCACCCACATTTGAGCCTCCAGCCTCTTCTCTCCCAAATTCCCTTGGCAGTTGGGTTCAGGTGGGGGAAAGCGTCATGGGGCAGGGTTTGAAGTTACCCCCAACAGGACTCCCTGGGGGCCAGTCACAAGTACCGACAGCCTCCCTTTCGGCTTCTGGGACCTCAAGAACAAGGCACTCCAGGGAGGGGAGAGGAAAGAAAAAGGAAACAGGAGGAAGGAAAAGAAGAGGAAAGTAGGAGGGAAGGTAGGAGGAGGGAAGAGAAGACGGGAAAAAGGAAGAAAAGAAGGGTGACAGAACCACAAACATTTAAGCTCCTACCATGTCCTCAGCAATGGTAAAGACAAAGTTTAGATAAGATACAATCCCAGCCCTCACCAAGTTCACTGTTCAGGAAGGCAATGAGATATAAAACCTGATAAACTATATTACATGATAAATTCATTAAAGAAGAGCAATGAATCAACTAACAAATATTTATTAAGTGCTTACTATGTGTCAGGCACTGTGCTAGGCCCTGAGGTTACCAAAACAAAAATTAAATGGTCGCTGCCTTTAATATATAGGAGAAAACGAAATATTACCTGAGGGATATGGAAGAAGACTTTTATTGACCTGGGTATCAGGGAAGAGAGGAAGGAAAGAGGGACAGAAGAAGAAAGAAACGGAGGGAAAGAGATGGAAGAGGGGGAAGGGAAAAGGGGAAAGGAGGAGAGATGATAAGGGGGACAAGTGGCTGAAGGAGAGGAGGAGATGAGGGTAGAAGACAGGGAAAGGCGGTAAAGTTAGGAAGAGAGGGAGGAAGTTTGAGAGTGGAAGAGGAAAATAGGAAGGGCAGAAAGAGGGAAAGAGGGGGGGGGCAGGGTGCAAACCCCGTGGCTGAAAAGGAAAGCGAAAGCTCCCTGGGACTTTCGCTTTCGTTTCTTCTGCAGAACCTCCGAGCCCCCCAGATACCAGGCATCCCTTCCTGTCCCGTCCATTTTCGGTATCCTGCTCAGTGCCCTGGTCCTTGTTTCCCCTGGACGGCTCGTCCCCTGCGAACGTAACGCAGGGGTGCCAGGGTCTTGCCGGGAGCTGTCCCGGGTGCCACGCTTAGATTCGCTCCCTAGCTGCTTTATTATCCCAAGGTGCGGTCCGGGGGAGGAAGACAAGTGCAAGGCCATGGCAGAGCCAGGCGGTCCCTTGCGTCTGCGGGACTGGCTGGTGGCTCAAATTGAAAGCGGCCGCTACCCCGGGCTCCGCTGGGAGAACCGAGAGAAGACGATGTTCCGCATCCCCTGGAAGCACGCGGCCAAGCAGGACTACAGGCAGCAGCAGGACGCCGCGCTCTTTCGGGTAAAGCAGCCACGCTAAGCAGCCGCCAGAGGGGAGCCTCGGGAGCCCTGGAGCCAGGACAGCTTGGCCCGCCGTGGGGCCACCCACGTGGGGAGAAGCGGGGCGAGGGCTGCTGGGGAGGCATGTCGGGTTCCATTCTAGTCAATCCAGCCCCCTTGCTGGGCGGCGGACAAGGTGGGACAGGGGCACGGAGAGAGACCTGACTTCCAGTCTTACTCTGACACTGTGAACTTCAGTCCTAGGTTTCAGTTTCGTCCTCTGTAAAGCGACGAGATTGGACGGCATGATTTCTGGGCTCCCCTCTAGCTCTCGGGTTCTTTGTCTATTGGAGGATCATAGGTTCATAATTTTAGAGGTGGAAGAGACCTTAGAGGCCGTCTAATCTAATTTGGTCACCCATTTTACAGATGAGGAAATTGAGTCTCAGAGAGGTTACCAGGGATCACACAATTATTGAGTGTCAAAGTTGGGATTTTCCCAGTCTTCCAGAGGATAAGTCCAGACCCTATCAGAGACCTGCCTCCTGCTCCCAGGAGGCCTCAATTGAGGTGGAGAAGCATCATTTACTCAGGAGATGTGGGGTACAGACAGGACATCATGGAAAGAAGTGCTATGGTACAGACCCTGAGAGCATTAGGTCCTGCAGGGTAGAAGAGCGATTAATATAGTTTGGATCAGATACCCTCAGTGGCAGTGGATTGGAGTTCAAATCCAGCCTCAGACACTAGCTGTGTGGCCATGGGCCAGTCATTTATTCTCTTCCTTTTGTTAAAAAAAATTGTTATTCATTTTCAACTTAAATACCTAAAGCCAAAAAAAATTTCCATGTACACAGCACAACACAGAAGATTCAATATAAAACCATGAATTTCCAGTTTACACTGTTTACTTTTTTTGGGAAAACTATGTTAGTAAGTACTATGTATTAAGTTCTAGGTATCATTTTTTAAAGTTACCCTGCTTTTCTGTGCTTCCTTCTAAGTTTTCTTTTGTTCTCTGGCATGCACTTTTCTTTTTCTTCTTCCCTCCCCACCCACCCTAGAGAAGGTTACCATTAAACACAAACATGCAAAACCATACTATGCGTGCTTCTATTTATCAGTTCTTTCTCTGGAGGTGGATAGCATCTTCCTTCATAAGTCCTTTTTAGTTGATTTAGGTATTTATAATATTCAAAGTGAGGGGCAGCACAGTGGATAGAGCACAGGACCTGAAGTCAGGAGGACCTGAGTTCAAATGTGGCCGTGTGACCCTGGGCAAGTTGCTTAACCGCAACTGTCAAAAAATAAATAAAAATATAATACTCAAAATGACTTAGACATTCAAAGTTGTTCTTAGAACAATGCTGCTGTTACTGTGTATGGTGTTCTCTTGGTTCTGCTCATTTCACTCTGCATTATTTCATACAAATCTTCCCATGTTTTTTTTCTAAAATCAACCAGCTCATCATTTCTTATAGCACAGTAGTATTCCATCACAATCATATACCACAATTTGTTTAGCCATTCCCCAATTGATAGGCATGCCTTCAATTTCCAATTCTTTGCCACCACAAAGAGAGCTGCTATAAATATTTTAAAACATATAAGTTCTTTTCCTTTTTCCCTAATCATATTGGGAAACAAGCCAAATAATGGTATTGCCGGGTCAAAGGGTATACACAGTTTTATAATTATTTGGGCATAGTTCCAGATTGCTCTCCAAAATGGTTAGATCAGTTCACAGTTCCACCAACAGTAAATTAGTGTCCCAGTTTTCCCACATCTCCAACATTTGTTGCTTTCCTCTTCTATCATTTTAGCCAATCTGATAGGTGTGAAATGATAGCTCAAAGTTGTTTTAATTTTCATTTTTCTAATCAATAATGTTTTAGAGCATTTTTTCCATGTTACCATATATAATTTAGATTACTTCACTGAAAAACTGCCTGTTTATATCCTTTGACTATGTGTCAATTGGGAATGACTCATATTCTTATACATTTAACAAAGTTCTTTATATATCTGAGATATGATACCATTATCTGAGAAACTATCTGTAAAAATTTCCTCCCAATTTTCTGCTTTCCTTCTGATCTTGATTACATTGGTTTTATTTGCACAAAAATTTTTTAAAAATTTAACATAATCAAAATTATCCATTTTATGCCCTACAATGCTTTCTATCTCTTACTTATTCATAAATTGTTCCCCTATCCATAAGACTGATACGTAACATGTTCCACATTCTTCTAATTTTCTTATGATATCTCCCTTTATATCTAGGTCATGTCTCCATTTTGACCTTGTCTTGGTAAATGGTGTAAGATATTGGTCTATGCCCAATTTCTGCCAGACTGTTTTCCAGCTTTCCCAATAATTTTTACCAAATAATGGATTTTTATCCCCAAAGCTTAAATATTTACATTTGGCAAACACAAGGTTACTATAATCATTTACTACTGTGTATTATATGTCTACTTAGCCTTTTTCAAGCCTCAGTTTCCTCAACTATAAAATGGGGCTCTTAATAGCACTGTCCTCCCAAGGTTGTTAATCAAATGAACTAATATTTGTAAATGCTTAGCACAGTGCCTGGCACATAGTAGGCATTTAAATATTATATACCTCCTTTCTTTCCTGCCTCAGTAATGGATCTTAAGATAGAGAGTTGGAGGGGGAGACCTCAGGAAACATCTGTTCTAATCCATTTGACGGATGAGGAAGCTGTAATGCAGAGAAGTGAAATCACTTGCTCAAGGTCACACAACTATTGAGCAAAAGAGCTGGGGTTTGAATCCATATCTGATGGCAAAGCCAGTGAGGTTTCTACTGCACCAAGCTAGAAGGGACTTTTGAGACCACCTAGTCCCAACTCCTCATTTTACTAAGGAGGGAAAAAGTCCTGAGATCAGAAGTGACGGTCAAGGGCAGCAAGGTGGCACAGTGGATAGAGCACCAGCCCTGGAGTCAGGAGGACCTGAGTTCAAATCCAGTCTCAGACCAGATACTTGACACTTACTAGCTGTGTGACCCTGGGCAAGTCACTTAACCTCAATTGCCTTGGGGTGGGGGGAAGAAGTGACAGTCAAAGGTTTCCTGGTAGAGGAGCAAAGGTTTGAATTGGACTTTGAAGGACCAGGCAGATTGGGATAGGTATCACATGGTAAACAGAAGCAGGATCACAGAATTAGAAGCAGCCTCAGAGGGCATCTAGCCTGACCTCTACAACATCCCTGACAAGTGGTCATCAAGCCTCTGCTAGAAGACTCCAGTAAAGGAAGTCTTCACGGGGATACTAAATGATTTCTATTTGAACTAAGAATAAAGGCTTAGTGTTCTCTCTCTCTTTCTTTCCTTCCTCCTTTTCCTTCCTTTCCCCTTTCTTTTCGTTCCTCTCTCCTTCCTTTCCTCCTTCCTTCCCTCATTCCTTTCTTCCCTCTCTCCTTCCTTCCATTTCCTCCTCCCTTCCTTCCCTCCCTCCTCCCTTTCCTTCCCTCCCTCCTCCTTCCTTCTTTCCTTCCTACCTCCTAGATTTAAATCTATGCCTTGCTACTTATTAGCTGTGTGATCTTAGACAATTCACTTAACCCCTCTGTGCTTCAACTTCCTCATGTGTAAAATGAAGCAGTTTTACAAGATAATTCATAAGATCCTTTCCAACTCTACATGTTAAATATTTATGTGTATATATTAGATGACTAAAGCAGTATATACAAGATGAATTGGAAAGGGAGAGACAGAAGATGAAGAGACCAGGTAGGAAACTCTTCTAAAAGTCCAGGGAAAAGGGAAAAATACCCTGGTGGAAAGAATGGAAAGGAGGGGATGAATGAGAGAAACAATCTTGAACTGAAATTGACAGGACTTGGCAACTAATTGGTGGTAGGAAATGAGAAAGAGAAAAGAGTCACAACTGACTAGGTTTCTGCTTAGGTGATTGAGTGGCCACTAGAAATGAGGCAGCTTGAAAGAGGAGTTGGTTACTCAAGTGAAGATCTTTCCCAACATCGAATTCTTTACCTTACAATCTCCTCCCCCAATATCCTTCATTAGAACTTGCTGGCAAGGGTGCCCTCAGTTTGCCTCCCCACATAGGCAGGATCCCCAGAGCTAAGTCCCAGAAGGGTAGAAAGAATTCCACAGGGCTCAGAGGTTTGAGACCTGAGCCTTGTTCTTTTCCTCCAGGCCTGGGCCATTTATAAAGGTAAGTACCAGGAAGGCACAGACAAAGCTGATCCATCTGTCTGGAAGACCCGCCTGCGATGTGCCCTAAACAAGAGCACAGACTTCCAGGAAGTGATTGATCGGAGCCAACTGGACATCTCTGAACCCTACAAGGTCTACCAGATCGTCTCTGAGGGAGTCCGAAACCTGGGTATTCACATATTCAAGAGCATGGGTTTGGGGAGCAAGAGATTCAAGTTCTGGTCCTTGGGTCATCAAAGATCCTTAGCCTTGCTGTGGGGAGTTTTAGAGGGCTTTGTGGATGACTAGAGGCTAAGAAGAACAGGGCTTTCCCAGGGCTTTGAACTAGAACCTAATGTATTCACTTCCCCTGCAGAGGATGAAGGGCAGAAGGGCCATCTGAGAGCCCCCAAAGATCTATCAACTGAGCCTCTCCAGAGGCCAGACCAGGTCAGTGTACTGGCACCCTCTCTACCTCTATCCCTGCCCCATCATCCTGACACTCAAGTCTCCTTTACCTTCTTCATCCCTCCATACTTACCAGCCCTATCCCTTCCAGCCCCACATCCTCATCCTCCTCCTAACTTGGGGCACTGAGAGTTGGGAAGCTGCCCTTCTTATAGCCTATCCACATCTGATTTCATTCCCTCCCCCTTTGGGTTGTGCTGCCCACTGTCCTGACCCCAAAGCACTTGAGTTGTATCAACCAAGAACTGATGCTGGTGTGTGATTACATGATTGGTGGGTGGGCCCTCCTGTTTAGCAATGACCTCTCCCATCTTCTTTCCCCACTGAGACCTTGTTTCATTATGGAAGGCCAGCTCACTCTGATGAAACCAGTGGCTGGGCTCTAGTCTCAGCTGCCGCCCTAGCCCTCAGTCCTCATAGGCCCTCTCTCCCACTGCCTAGGCTGGCTCAGACTCAGCTGCTGAGGATATTGGCAAGGAAAGGATTTCCAAGGGCTGCCATCAGGTTTCCCCAGCCCCCTGCTTTACCAGCCCAAAGACTGAGTCTGGTAAGGGAGGGGTCTCTATGGAATTGGGTCTTCCTATCCTCTTCTGCCCGCCTTACCTTTTAACTCTTCATTCTTTTTCCACCTCCTGTTTTCTTGTTTCCCAGAGGTGTGCTGACCTCTGAGCCCTGAAGGGAGGGAACTGACAAGGAAGGCGGCTCACCACATTGGGTTATACCAGTACCTTTTCTATCTCCCTCTTCCCCTCTCCAGGGTACCAAGTAACAGGCACGTTTTACAGTTGGGACCCTTCACAGAGCCACCTTCCTCTAAGCCTGACCTCCAGTGAGAATGTTAGCACCTCTGGTAAGGATCATCAGCCTGGAAGGTTCCTCTGCACAGTCCTTACCCCTCCCCTGCCCTAGTCTCAAGGTTGATCCTGTGCTTTGCTCACCTGCAAGGCAGAGAAGTGTTATCCCCCCATTCACAGAGGATGAAGCAGGCTCAGAGAGATTAAATGACTACCCATAGCCACGCTGCTGATGAAAAGGAAGAGTCAGGACCAGAACTCAGGTCTTCCAAGTTCAGGGTCCTCCCTACTACACCTTGATGTCTTTTCTTACTGTGAAAAGGGTGTGGAACTGGGATGGGAAGTGAGGAGAGCTCACTCTTCTTATACAGAAGGTCAGGTTTGGACCTCTGCTTATCACTCACAAACTCAGTCCCTTCCCCTCTTCCCAGCTGTCAGTTAAGAGCCCAAGAAGACTCAGGGAGAGGCTATCACTAGGTAGGGCTAAATTGCATTCATGATACTGAATGATCTAGCCAGGAGTTCCCAACCTGGGGTCCATGACCTTTTAAAAAATATCTATTTTTATAACTTTATTTCAATGTGACTGGTTTCCTTTATAATCCTGTATTTTATTTTATTTCACATGCCTAAAAGCATTTTTCTGAGGAGTCAAATAGGCTTTTGCCTATTTGCCAAAGGAAGCCATGCTATAAAAAAAGATTAAGAACCCCTAGCTTAGGGGCAGCTAGATGGTGAAGTGGATAGAGCACTGGCCCTGGAGCCAGAAGGACCTGAGTTCACATCCAGCCTCAGATATTTGATACTAGCTGTGTGACCCTGGGCAAGTCACTTAACCCTGATTTCCTTACTCCCCCCCAAAAAATAGAAATACTTGTTGACTGCTCCATGTCTCTCAACTTTTGTGTGTGTGTGTGTGTGTGTGTGTGTGCTTTTAAGGCAACTGGGGTTAATGCAGGGTCATGCAGCTAGTAAGTGTTGTGTTTGGTCTGGGGCCGAATTTGAACTCAGGTCCTCCTGACTTCAGGGCCAGTACTCTATCCACTGCGCCACCTAGCTGCCCCTTCTGCACTTTTCATTCATGCAGTAGGTATGTGCTAATGTATGCCTAACCCTGTGTTCAACAATTTGTGACAGAGGACACCGAAATGAAACATCCACTGCCCTCCTGGAGCTCCCCACCTAGTCAGGGAGACTAGTAACAGAGGACGGGAGTATGAAATCAGGGGACGGATCGTGTGGCTCAGACTCCAATCCCATTTCCCTCAGGAGTGTTCCCTGACCATTCTCAGCTCAAAAGGGAACATTTCCTCTCTACCCTATAACCCGGACTGTCTGTTCCACTCACTGGGCCCTGACCACAGTCTGCCTGGGTTTGTTACCTAGCTATTTCCTATGCGTGAGTCCCATCTCTCAGCTAAACTGTGCATTACCTGAATGTTAGGACCTATCAGCTTTGTCTCCATCTCCTCCTCAGTACCCTGGACAGGGCTGGGAGTTTAGTCAATGCTCAGAAAATGATTGTAGATGATTTGGTGTATTACCCACTTCAGACTGCTGGCTTCACATCCGTCTGTACTACCGAGATGTACTGGTGAAGGAGGCCATTGCTCACACTGCCGAGGGCTGCCGCTTGACAACCCGGCCTGTGCCCATGGACAGCCCACATCTCTATGGCCCTGCCAGGCTGGAGCAGATCCAGTTCCCGTCACCTAAAGCTCTGCCAGGGGCCAGCCCACCTGTCACCCAGATTCTGGAGCGCCTCTTGCCTCACCTGGACAGAGGAGTCCTGCTCTGGGTAGCTCCTGAGGGGGTCTTTGCTAAGAGGCAGTGCCAGGGCCGGGTTTACTGGCGAGGCCCCCTAGCACCCCATTGTGACCAGCCCAACAAATTGGAAAGGGAGAAGACCTGTAAGCTGTTGGACACCCAGCAGTTCCTGCATCGTAAGCTCCTGGTGGGAAGGGGGGACTGGCAAGGTCCAGTTTGGGAGGTAAAGGAGGGTTACTGGTGTGGAAAGGAGCACAGGAAGATGAGAACACCGTTTTTGCAAAGTAAGATATAATTCAGTCAGGAGGCATGGATTTGAGTCCAAGTTCTGCCATTTACTACCATTTACATACCCCCTGCATGTCCCTGAGCTTCAGTTTTCTCATCTATAAAAAGGAGATCATATTTCCACTCCCTACCTTACAGTACCATTTTGAAGGAAGAATTTTGTAAAACTTAAAGTGATATAAAGGTGTAAGCTGTTGTTAATGTCACTTCACCCACAAAATTTCAGAGGCATCATGTCATAGTAGGGGAGAGAGAGAGAGAGAGAGAGAGAGAGAGAGAGAGAGAGAGAGAGAGAGAGAGAGAGAGAGAGAGGAAGGAGGCAGGAAAAGAGAATGGGAAGGGGAAGAAAGGGATGGAAAGAATAACAGAAAAAGAAAGGAAAGAAAGGAGGGGAAGAGTAAGGGAAAAGGAAGAGAGGGAAGGAGAGAGGAAGGGAGGGAGGAAGGAAGGAAGGGAGGAAGGAAGGAAGGAAAGAAGGAAGGGAGGGAGGGAGAGAGTAAAGGAGAAATAAAGGTAGGGAGGAAGGAAAGAGAAAATAAGAAAGAAAACAATTATCAAGGGTTCTTAATTTAGGTGTCCATGAACTTGTTTATTTTTTAATATTTTTATGACTGTATTTCACATAATTGGTTTCCTTTGTAATCCTATGTACATTATTTTATACATTTACAAACATTATTCTGAAAGGGGGCCCATAGGCTTCACCAGACTGTTAAAGGGGTCCATGAAAGTTAAAAACCTGAGATAGATAGGTAGGGAGATGGGTAGATAGAACACTAAGTTTTAACTACATGCCCTAAAAAAGATTTCATTCAAATGGGGGGAGACAATACATAGAGGAGGTGAGGGAGAGGGCTAGAGTGAGCTGCGTGTTGAGGAGACCGCAGGCAAGATAAGGTGAAAGCTCAGGTATCAGAAGTAGGGGACCCAGGGATAGGGTTCCAGTGGGAGGAGGTTAAGGACAATGAGAGAAGGTATGATGTACACACTACTGGGAAGTAGTGGGGAGAAGCTTACCTATCAGGGAAGGGGAAGAACTGTGGGGTAGAATCTAAGATTTCAAGATATAAAGATGATGGGCTGAGAGTCAGTGATGAAGCCAGAAAGACCTGGGTTCAAGTCTTGCCTCTGACATCCACTGGCTGTATGACCCCAGATAAAGTCACTTAACCTCTCAGTGCTTCAGGCAACTCTCCAAGACATTAAGTTGCAGAGAAGGGGTCTACCTGTATTAGTAAAGGGAGTTTCCTCATTCAGAAATTCTACATATTGATGTCCTGGTCCCTAGCTAATGATTTAGTAGACCATTTTACGAGTTGCTACAGCAAAAAAAGAGAAGGAAAGAGAAGGAAAAAATGGAAGAAAGAAAAAGGAAAGGAAAAGAGAAAAAAAGTCTTACCCTGGTGGCCAACATCCTCTTAATGAGCCTCTTCACACTTAGGCTAGTCAGTAGAAGACAAACACAGAGTCTGTCTGGACCCTGGAATCTGAATGAAGCCTTTTTAATGAGGCAGAACCTGCCATAAGTTGTGGCTGTTTGTAGGACTTTCAAGAACCTAAGGTCCCAGCCCCTTCCTGCCACAGCAAAGAATGAAAAGAAGAGGGAATAAGCATTTATTAAGTGCTTACTATGTGCCAAGCACTGAGCTAAGTTCTTTACAAGTATCTCACTTGATCCTCACCACAACCCTGAGAGGTAGGTGTTATTATCCCATTTTACAATAAAGGAAACTAAGGCAGATAGAGGTAGAGTGACTTGCCCAGAATAGGAAAAGGAATTTAGTGGAAGAAAAAAAAAAAGAATGTGCCTAAAGTCTCACCACTATTGAATGATCAAGCCAGAACTCAAACCTGGCTCTTCTGAAGTTAAAGCTGAAGCTCTTTTTCCACAGTCCTGGGCTGCTTCAGTGGACATAATATTGGTCTTTCTATCACCTGGCTCACTGGGTTATTGTGAGCAAAGTGCTTTATCAACTGTTAAACTCTGTAGAAATGTGAGCTGTTATTACTATCATCAAGAACGAAGAAGGAGTGTCTGAGGGCAATAGTCAGGGCCATGGACAGGGGCTGGGCACTGCTGTTGGCAGGAACCATAGGATAGGCTGGCTCAAGGCTACCTAAGCTCAGTTTCCAAAAAAGCAGGCAGAGAATGTGTTTAAAAAAAAAACCCAATCCTTTAATGCAGTCAGGTTGGATCAGCACTGGAAGACAGGCATCACTCCTTCCTGCCAAGGTCTAGGATCCAGAGACGCAGCCCAAGAGTTGGAGTTAGGCATCACCAGGACCCAGCCCTTACCTTGTGCCTTACAGAGCTGCATCGACACCTGTGTCTTGGGGAGCCAGCACCCCAGTACCAGATCCAACTGTGCTTTGGAGAGGAGTACCCAGGTCCAGGTTGCCAGTCCCAGGGGAGACTCATCATGGCTCATGTGAGTTTAGGGAGGAGGGGACAACCAGACCTATTATATCCAGTGCTTTCCCTCCCCCTGCCCCAGGGGATCCCACACATGACACAACCAGACTCCCTGACTTTGGACAAGTAACTTAGAACCTGTTTCTTTCTCTATAAGACCAGAAAATTGGACTAGATCATCTCTAAAGTTCCTTCCAGTTATAACATTGGTGTTCTGTGTTCTCAGGTGGTCCCCTCTAGCTCTCATTTCTATGACTTACCAAGCCCTTTCCAAGGCCTCGCTGGGATCTTTTTCTTTTTCTCTCTGACTCTCTTCCAGTCTTTGGGAGGACCTGTGGGAGCCCCTGAGCTTGGGAATAGACTATGAGGGTGCTAAAAAGCCCCACTTTACAGATGAGGAAACTGAGGCTGAGGGAGGTTAAGTGAATTTCAGGGGCTAACACAGCCAGCAAGTATTTGTGGCAGGATTAGCCTAAGGTCTTCTGGACTCCAAGTCCAGCACTCTATGCACTGTGCCACCAGGACTGCCCCTCCCCCTTCCTCTTAGGCCCTGCTGTCTAGGGGGATGCCCCCCTCCTCAAATTTCACAGTCCTTAAGGCATTGAGAGAGAAGGCAAGGAAGTGGGGTGCTCTAAGAGGATGCAGTGGGTGGAGCCAGAAACTGGGTACCTGAAGAGAAGTAATGGCCAGGAGGGGCTAGGAGAGTAGGGACAGCCCTTCTTACCCCATGCCTCTCTCCTTTCCTTTCCTTCCCAGGTGGAGCCCGTATTTGCCCGAGAGCTCTTCTTGCACTCCAGGCGTCTCAGTTCCCAAGATCCTTCAGGTTCCCAGTCCAGTGCTCCAGAGAGTACAACCCACCTTCTGAACCAGCTATGCCAACCCTGACTGTGGCCCCACGCCATCTCCAGAGCACTGCCCCATCGTCTCCAGAACCCTGCCCCTTTTCTGTTCATCTCTGACCAAGCTGGGCCAGCATATCTGGGGCTAAGAGTCTTCACTTTGTCAACTCTCGAGCTCATGTTGCCCTATCTCAAAACAGGTTTTGTGTGTGCCTGTTGGGTGGATGTGTTGGGGGTCAGGGGGCACAATGTATATGTATAAACTAAACTTCAATGTGCTTTAGTAGTTATTCATAAGAGGAACCCTCTGGCAAATGCTTTCTAAAATTAGACATCCTGAGCCCCCAAAACTTCTAGTATCTCAGGGTAGCTCTACATCAGTCTGCCTTTTATTTTTTTAAAGGCATGCCCCATAGTATGGAGAGTTGATGAGGAGCCATCCCCACTCTTTTCTGCCCTTGGAATGTGTTAGAAGGCACCAGAACCTGTTTATGCTGGTGTGACTGTTAACAGAATTTGCAAAGCATTTTTTATCTGTTTAGTGGAAAGAGCATTGGATTTGGAGTCAGGACAAATCTAGGTTTGATGCTCACAGCCACATTTATTGGTTCTGTGATGGTGGGCAAGTCACTTAACCTCTGAGAATCAATTTCTGTAAAATGATGATATTCATGCTTATAGTACCTACATCACAGGGCTGTAGTGAAGATGATATTATGTATGTGAAGGAGCCTTATATTAATATTAGCTGTCATTATTTCCTCATTTGAATTTCACAAGGAAGGACAGGGAAAATGAGTTCTAGGTGAAGAAATTGAGGCCTGGAGAGGGGAAGAGGCTTACCCATGGTCACACAGTTGTGGGGCTAGGATTTGAAACCAGGTCAGCTTCTAATGCCCAGCCCAGGACTCTTTCTCTTGTACTGACTGCTACCCTCATTAGCATCCTGCTTCAGGCACTGAAGACAACAATTCAAAGACCTTCATTGACTAGGTCAAAAACCTCTCTTCTCCTGCCACTTACTTGGGACAGGGTCTTTGATGAGAGAAACTGAGCCAGGAGTGTCAAAGAGCCTCATAGAGGTGGAGGCTGAAGCAACCTGCCCTCTCCTTCTATTCCCTTGTTAGCTGTGCCCTGGAAAAGACCTTAGTGATTACATAGGATCATGCTTCTCATTTTATAGTAACCCAGAGGGGCAGGAGGGTCTTCCTGGAGGGAGGAAAGGGACTTCCCCAAGTTAACACAAGTCAGTAACAAAACTGAGACTCAAATCCAGGTCTTTTGATTTCATTATCTTTCCACTGATCCCTGTTTTCTGGGACCCAGGGCAGGAAGTCTGACTGAAAAACCACTGATCAACCTTAAAGTTGAATAGGTCACCCTGCACTCTTGACCGGAGATCCATAAAGGCCTAGGGCAGGTTGAAAGGAGAAAACGCTACTCAGCCCAGCAAGACAGACTTTTCTTCAAAGCTCAGCAGAGGGAGCTAGGGCCTAGGAGCTGTACTTACTGAAGTCTCCCCCACATCCTTCCTCTGCAAGGGCCAGGGGCTTCCCCACGCCCATCCTTTCTCCTCCTCCCTCCCAACGGCCCCCATTTTCCTCCCCAGCCTCACAGCCCTCTTCTCTCTCCTTTTCCACCTCTCCTACCTCCCCTCTCTGGCTCTTGGCCCTCATTCCTCCCCCTCCTTCCGCACCTCCTCGTTCTCCTCTCCTTCCTCACAACCCTTATTCTCTTCCTTCCCAACAGCTCCCCCAGAGGTCCCTCCATCTTTATAATCCCCCCCCCAGTTTATTCTCCCTTCATTCTCACACTCTCGTCTTCTCCCCACGAGGGACAAGAACAGTTGGGCCCTTGTTTGAAAAGGGGAAAGGATAAAGTAGTCAAGGGAGAGTGGGGTGACTGGAGAAGAAATATAAAGAGAAGGGAGATTGTGAGAGAGAGCAGGGAAAAGGAAGATAAGAAGGAAGAAGGCAAGAGAGAGATGGGGAGAAGAGAAACAGGGAAGTTAATAGAGAAGGCAAAGATAATATGGGGAGGGACAGAAGGGAAATAGGAGAGCTCTGAGCATAGCTAAGATTTAATGGGAAGAAAAGTGCTGAGACATATAAGGAGGTGGAGGAGAGGCCATAAGAAAGCTCGAGGAAGGAGAGGGGAGAGAAGCAGGATAAGGAGGCAGCTGGGAATCTCTAGTCCGACTCTGCATTTCTTTTTTCAGTTCTGCCCAGCCAACCCAGCCTCTGCCTCATCCTCCTGTTCTCCTTCCCCTGGGACCCTCAGCCCTGAAGCCTGTCGGGGCTGGGCCAAAGCTTGGCCCCTCCCTAGGCCCCCAGGAGCAGTGCTGTCTCTGATCGGGACTGGCAGCTGGGTGGGAAAGGGGTGGGGGTAGAGCGGCCTGATCCCTCCCCTCCAGCCTTTCCAGGCCACAGGGGCTGGGCTGGCCAAGGGCTTTTAACCAGCTGGAGGAGGCTCCTGACCGGCTTTTGGCGGTGAAGGCTTCTGGGAAAGGAAAGAGATGCAGCCTGACTGTCCCACTCCACGGGGGCCCGGGAATGGCCAGGGCGGGGATTCAGCTCCCAGCCGGCATGGCCAGGACCCGGGTCCCAGCCGCCCTGGGGAGCTAGCCAAGCCCCCCTACAGCTATATTGCCCTCATCACCATGGCCATCCAGAGCTCCCCGGGCCAGAGAGCCACCCTCAGTGCCATCTACCACTACATCATGGGTCGCTTTGCCTTCTATCGAGACAACCGTCCTGGCTGGCAGAACAGCATCCGGCACAACCTGTCCCTCAACGAGTGCTTTGTCAAGGTGCCCCGAGATGACCGCAGACCTGGCAAGGGCAGCTACTGGACCCTGGACCCTGACAGCTACAACATGTTTGAGAATGGCAGCTTCCTGCGACGGAGGCGCCGCTTCACCCGCAAGAGGGGGTCTGAGCCTGACACTGAGACGCAGAGGAAGGCCAAGAGCAGGGCCCGTGGTGGGCCAGCTCGTGGGGGCTATCGGTCCTCTGGGATCCCAGACCCTCATAGCGATGCCCGAGAGCAGGAGGGGGCCTCTGGCCAGGCCAAGGCCACCACTGGACCGTGCTTAGCTCCACCACTGGAGCTGCCCGAGGCCCAGGGCCTGTGCCACACCAATCCAGAGACGTCACCCAATGAGAGCCTCTTTGGGGGACTTACAGATACTCTCCCTACAACCCCAGCTGGTCTCTACCTTTCCACTTCTGAGCCACTGGCCCTGCCAGCCTCACAGATGCTGATGGACCTGAAGGAGCCTCCTGAGCCAGCCAAGTCTCCTGGACAGAGGGTGGACCCTCGAGAGCTGCCACCCTCCTCCTCCTCCTCCTCCTCTTCCTCTTCTGCCTCTCCATGCCCAGCATTCAGCCTGCCCCCAGTCTTCCCTGCCCCTCAGGGCCCTCAGCCCTCCCCAGCCCGATTCCCCGAGGGTGAGGCCTACGGCAAGACAGGGCTGCCCATCTTTGGCAACTTTGGTGGGGCTGAAGCTCTGGGTGGCAGCTACCAGTGCCGTGTGCAAGCCCTGAGCTTCTGCATGGACGAGCGGGGCTGTGGCCCAGCCCTGGATCATCTGCTTGCACCCACTGCAGCTGCCCCAGCCACCCCCACTCAGTCACCTCCCTTCCAATCCCCACTACCCCTTCGGGGGAACCAGAAGGAGCCCTGGACTGGGGGGCCATTCCCACTCCAGGGAGGAGGAAGCTACCAGCTAGGGCTACCCCACTGCCTCTATCGGACCCCAGGCATGTTCTTCTTTGAATGAAGTTTCCCTCCTGGTCTTCTGCTTCTTCCCCTGTACAACCAGGCAGGCCCCCCCACCGCTTCATGCAAGGACATGCTAAAGAATGGACTCTTACCTGAGGGCTAAAGCCATTTGATCCTCTTCAGGTGAAGACACCCTGCTCAATCTGTCCCCAGCACACTGGGTCTCTGACAGAAAGGGTGCCAGAGGTGGCAGACAGTAGGGCTCTCCCTAGGTGAAGATGGGGGACAGTGAGAGCTTTGGTTCCCAAAGCCAGATGAAAAAACTAAGGATTAAATCAGAGAGCTGGAAGGGATTTTGGAGGTCATCTAATCCAACGCCCTCATTTTACAAAGGAGGAAACTGAGAGACCCAAAAAAGGGAAATGACTCATCTAAGGTCACACAGCTAGTCATTAGGAGAGCCCGGGGCCCGAGCCCAGGTCTTCTGACTCTTCTTAATCCAAAGCTCTTCCCACTACTGAACGGGTCTGAAGAGGCAACAGAAACAGGAGATCTTTGTCTTCCTTAAATGACACAGGGTTCTGCCTGACCAGGATTCCAGAGTTTCATTTAGTGACCTCATGCCCTGGCCCCTCCATGGACAAACTTGGGGAGTGTGGGGAAGGAGGTGTGAGGCTGGATCTCTGTCAGATTTTACTCGACATTCTACTTAATAAAACAAGTGAGTCTTGAAACATACCATAAGCCTGGCCTGGTGGATGGGGTCCAGGACTCCTGGGTTCTTCCAGGGCTGCCTCTGGGTATCGGTCTCCCCACAGGGATAGGAATGGGGAATGGGTTGAGTTTCTTTGTCCCATGGGGACTGCCCTGCAGGGGGACTTTTGGTGGGAGTTTCCTGCCACTCAGGGAGGGGGGAAAGAGGGAGATTGGAGTGGGAGGAGGAAATAAAGGGGGAGGGAAAACCAGGGAAGGGGAGAGTCCAAAGAGAATACAATAAGGAAAAGGAGTCTATTCCTTGTCCTCCCTAGATGCTTTCCCTTCCTGCCCCTGAAACCTGGGGCTGGGTATTCTCAGGGCCTCTGCACTGACCAAGAGTCCCAGGGGACAGACAAGGAGGGAAATGGACTCCTTAGGACCTCCACTATCCTCCACCCCAATCCCAGGAACTTGTTCCTTCATCTTCTGGGCTCCTTCTCTCAGTGGTTGGGACACCTCTATAACCCACAAATCAGACACTCCCACCTCACCCCCACTCCAAGTCGTTCTTGCTATTTGGGAGGTCAGATCAGAGCTAGTGAGACCCAGGGGAGAGGCATCCCTGTTAGAGGCGAGGAGTTAAGATACTAATAGCATTATAATATTCAAGTCTCAGAATTGGAAGTACCCATAGAGATTCTCTATTCCAACTTCCTATTTATACAACTCCCCGGGGAGTTGAGGAAGTGATTTGCCTCTAGTCACAGAGTAAGCTCAAGGTAGAGCCAAGATTTGAACCCAGATCTACTGATTTTCAGGTCATTATTATTCCCCACTAGAATATTACCATATTCTGCCTTCCCTTTGTTCCATCCAGCACCTCCAGCCACTGGGGAGCAGGTTCCAAAGAGTCCAACCCTTCCTGAAATACGGTTTTCCTGGCCTCCTGCACTTTCCCACATCCCCAGTCTCGGGGAGAGTGAACCTGCAGCCCTGAGAGTTTTGTGCCTATTTCCTTCCCTTCCCCCTTCTTCTTTTCTGGAAGTCATCTGGGTCTCCTCCTTGTGATTAGGGAAATTAGGAGGGTCAGGGCAGGGGTAGCTTTCAGCCTCCCTCTAGACTAGCGGAATCACCAGGACCCTAGAACCCAGCCTCCCCCACTGCCACATCTCCCCTCTATCAGCTCTTGTGAATCAAGGAGAGGGCATGTTGCAGACTGAGAAACATGAGACATTGATGGTTAGAGGGCGGGGGCTGGCAGAGGAAGGCACTTGTTCCAAGGATGATGAATTCTCCTAAAAACTCTTCTTCTGATCCCTGGAATGAAAAAAGACCACAAGGCTGGGGGCCAGGATTCCTGGGTTGTATTTCCACACACACACCCTATCCTACTGGGATGTCCCTAGCAAGTGACTTCCTTTTTCAGAGCCCTTAATGTTCCCATCTGGACCATGGGAAGCCAGATCCTCAGGGTTTCTGGAGGAAGGGAGAGGGATGTTCACCCTCTCACTGGGCTGGGACAAGTCAGAGACTGTTGCTTCTAAGGTGCTGGTCTCTGCCAACCCCAGTACCTAGTCTGAGTGATCTCTGTATGTAGGTTTCCAGTAATCCTTTCTGACCAACTGACTCTGTTCAGTAAAGGCTGATGACAGATACCTGGGTGATGGATCCTGGGCTTCCCTTTTATAGTTAAATGTGTCCAACAGCACCCCTCCCTTCTTCCCATGCTCGGGGATTGGGGAGGATACTAGAGTCAGTCCTGGATCAAGTAGGATCCAGGGAAGGAAGAAAAGTGAGGGGTTGACAAAGGCCTCATATTGGTGACCATGCATAAGTGTGCAGAGACCAAGAGACATGCAATGTGTAGAGCCTCCATTAGGATGTAGACTCTATGAGATAGATACAGACAAGTGTGTAACAGATAACAAAGCTGGCTATGGTGACACACAGGTACGTAGACACACAATACCCAGGAATCAGCCTACCAGGATAGACGGACATACATCCACACTGATATAGGGAGGCTGGGGAGAGCAGGAGGCTGAGGTGGAAGAGGAGCAGCTACTGGTGACTGGAAATCTGAAGTGAGGCCCTCCAAGGACCCAGGCGGCTTTGAGGTTGAATGTCTGCCCGCTCAAGAGCCCCTGGGCAGGGGCTGGGAGGGACGAAAGGCCTGGGCACCGGGGTATGGAGGAGGACCAAACCATCAGCATTTGGGCTCTGAGGCCATAGCTGGGGGGTGGGGCATGCTGAGGGAAGATCTCTCGACATCCGGCAGCGAAGGAAGCACATAGGTGGGCAGGGAAGGAGAAGGCCTACACTATTCTCAGCCCTTCCTAAATCTTCATTCTTTCCTCCCTGGAAGTAAGCTCTCAGTTTTCTCCTCTGTCTTTGCTTGCCTCTTTGCTTTGCTAATCTCCTCTCCTACCTCTGTTCTCTCTTCCCTATCTGTTAGCCCTCACCTCCAGGAAGCCCCCCTGGCTGACTGGCCCAGCTGTGTGTGTCTGGGCTGGCTGATCAACCTAACTGACCTCTTCCTCCTCCCTCCCCGCCTTCCCCTCGCAGACTCCCTCCCTCCTTTCCCGGGACTCCCTAGGGGCCTGGGAGGAAGCAAGCCCGGGGAGCAGTGCCCTGAGCTGTCTGGTTCCCACAGACTCGCCCCTGCTGTGGGCAGCCCCTCATGGGGGCCAGGCCGGGTCTCAGAGAACGGGAGCTGAGCTGGGAAAGTGTTCCCAAGGCCAGCTGCATTCCCCCTACACACACACACACACACACACACACACACACACACACACATACTTCCCTCCTTTCTGTCTCCGAGGCTCCCCCCTCCCAGAGAAGATTCTGCCTCAGACTTTATGACCTCGATGACCTTAGAGGGTAGAGATGGAGGAGGGTAAAGTTGGTGATGGGAGAGAGGAAAGTGAAGGAAAGGGGGTTTCATGTGACTAAGAGCATGCCGTTTGTGCATAGCTGTGTGTGAGAGAGCAGGGGTGTACTTGTGTTGGGAGGGATGTATGATGAATCCAGTGGCTTTAGGGGGGTGTAAATGGTGAAAGAGAGGAGATGTATACCAAAGTAATATGTGAGCCCTTCATAAACCTTAAGATGCTATTTAAACTGTAATTATTATTACATTGTCTAGGTGTGTTTATCAAAGGCATAATTGTGAAGTATATGTATATTTCAGAGAGTTGTGTGTGTGTATGGAGGATGTGTTTGTGTGGCAGGCATGTGTGTTTAGGCCCTATACATGTATAGAGGATGTGTTTCAGGGGTGGCATGTGCGGGGTATACCATGAAGATATGTAAAAGGTATATATGCCACAAGTATGTGTTTGTATGGGAGAACAGATGGGAGAATTGATTGGGATCTCTGTTTCTATGGGGTCTATATGAATTCGGTGAAGGAGACAATTGGAATAAAGTGACTTGTCCAGGGTCACACAGCTAGTAAGTGTCTGAGGCCAGATTTGAACTCAGGTCCTCCAAACTCTAGGACTGGTGCTCTATCCAATGTACCACTCACCATCCCGAACATATGTATTTCTATAGATATTTGTGGAATGATATGTTACAAATATTCTTGACATACTACTCCAAATAGAAAACTATACCTAGAGTCAAGAAGACCTAAATTCAAATCTAGCCTTATGCACTCAGCTGCATGACTTTGGTCAAGTCACTTAATCTTTATCTGCCTCAGTTTCCTCAACTACAAAATGGGGATAATAATAGCACTTACCTCCCAAAGATGTTGTGAAGATCAAATGAGATAACATTTGTAAAATACTTAAAGCCCTATTTAAATGCTAACTCATTATTATCTGGGTTTATGTATGTACGGAGGAGTGTGTATGGAGGATGTGTGTGCGTGAAAGAAGTATGTGTGAAGGGGGATAATATCAGCACTGCTGTGTTTGTATGGGGCATCTGTGTATTAAGGGTGTTTGTATGGGGAGGTTATCTGAGTACGGACTGGAGAATCAGGGATGTGTGTCTGGTATGTGGGTGTATCAGAATGTGTTCTTTATCTGGCTTGTGTGCGTGTAGTGTGTGTGTGTGTGTGTGTGTGTGTGTGTGTGTGTGTGTGTGTGTGTATGGGGGGATATGTGTATATGGGAAATGTGTGTGTCAGGGGATGTGGAGTGAGGGGGGGTTTGTATGTTCTTTATCTGATGGCTCAGAGAGAGGCCTTTCCTTCCCCTGCCTGGAGCCCTTCCCAGGCTCATTCTTGCAGGGACCTTGTGACCCCAGTTCCTGTGCTCTTCCGTGCTGTCCCCTGAGCCCAAGGAGGGGGGAGGGAACGGGGAAGGGAGGAAACTAGCACCAGGCTTCAGATTTGGGGGATGGTGAAGGTCGTCCCAGACTCTCACTCCTCTGCTGGAAGCCCCCAGCCTACAACTCTCTCTACAGGATTCTCATTCCCCCCTTAGCCTCAGGCTTCTCCCACATAGAGACACGGCTTCTTGCTGAGCTAGGGCCCCTCTGCCAACCTCTCCTCCCTGGGCCCAGTTCCCACCATCTCCCTGGGTGGTGTTGGGAATGCTGGGGTAGAGTGGGGAGAGGGGATCCAGGGATTACAGAATTTATAGCTGGAAGGAACCTTAGCAATCATCTCGTCGTTGACTTATAGAATTTGAGCTTTTAGAGCTAGAGAACATAGAATATAAAATGTTATGGTTGGAATG